CCATTCGGATTCCACAGACTCGGGGACCCTGCGGCAGTTTTTTTCAACGCTGGTAACGGGCCTTTCGCCGCCGATTCAGCGCCCTGATAAGCGGGGGCCATCCGGTGGCGGTGGAAATGGGCGGCCAGCCTTCTGGTTTGGGGGGGGGGGCCATTGCCGCCAAGGGCCCTTCCCCGGGGGCCGGCTGTTCCTTGAGACAGAGGTCTTCCTGCTGCTGCTGCTGTTGTCGTTGCCCCCGGCCCGGGGGCATAAAAGGCCCCCTCTCCGAAAAAAGCCTTGTACAAGCGTGGGTTCCGATTTCGTTGTTGCCCCTGTAGGCCTGTGGTCGCACCGTCGCGACCGAGTTGGGCCGATGCTCGGAAGATTGGTCTACGCTGCCGCGCCTTTCCTCCTTATCCTTCCGCCTGAACGTAAACGTCTTAGCGAGCCCTTTCCTCACGTCGTCGCTCTTCTTATCGAGGATATTTCGAAATCCCGACTTCTCGATGCCAGAAACGTCTTCCGTCTTGAGATTGGGCCTCCTCGGGCCCCGATAGCCGTAGTCATGCTGGTCTCTCCGCTCGGCGCTGGCTCCGCTACCGCCGCTGCTGATGCTCATTGTGCTGACGTTGCGGAAGTCCGAGCCGTGGTCCATGTCCCGCGCCGGCTCTGAGAATTTCAGGAACCGCGCATTGGTCGTGCCGACACCGGTGCCAACAGGAAGGGAATTCCCGGGCATGGGAAAGTCGGAAATGGTGACATCGTCGCGGTCGTGGCTGGCGGCCGACTTGGCTCGACTCCGCGATGCTGACTTGCCGTCCTTCGTGGCCTCCGTGTTGATCTTCTTGCGCACGTGAGCGCTACGTCCAGACATGGTGAGCGAGTTGAAGCCCAGAAGGCACGGATTTCTGGCGGTGACTGCGGTTCGTGACACTCTGGCTGGCAGTCGCAATGAATAAAACGAGCCGAGGCTGGCGCTCGACTTGGGGGAAAGGGGTTCTCCAAGGAACGAATCCCAGTCTTGACCGACGGTCCCGCCTGCCTTTCTTCTTTCCTTTCTTCCTGTTGGCGATGCGACGTGACGAGGGTCGGGGTGGTAGGCGTCTCGCAACAACTTCAAAGGTGCATCCCCGGCGCCCGTTTGGTTGTGGATCTTGTGGCAGCTGCCGCGTGCCGAAGCCAATGGCAGCGTGGCTGTGAAGTGGTCTAGTGCCTGTCCGGCTTACCGTACGGGTGTCTGACCCGTTGTTGCGCCCGCTGTGTTCGGGGGGTTCTGTTTTCGTTCCTTTGACTGGCCGTGAGGGCCGGGGTGCAGGACGAGGGGGAAGCACAGGGCGTCCGTTGTGACTTCAGCGCCTGTCAGCGTCAGCATTGATCTGGGCGATGACACTGAGGCCAGGTCGTCATACTCGTTGGGAGGGAGTGAAGCGGAGGGTGATCGGCTTTTCCATGCCCAACTTACAGCAAAACAGTGAGGGTCCGGGGAGGCGATCCGCAGTGAATTAAGGACGGGTGCTAGTCGATCTTCTGAAGCGGTAAAGCGGCGACAGTGTTGGGGCTCTCGGTTCGCGATGGATCGTCGGGTGCTCAGCGCGCGCCGCTCTTACGTTGTGTTGTATGAGAACGATTGTCGACAGAAACAAAGACAAACTCTGCGCTTATTTCATACAGACAACGTCGGAAAGGAGAAAGGCCAGAGGATCAAGACGGGCAGCCGGCGCCGCTGCGAGTAAGGAGAGGGGGTTCCTTACATACCCCATGACACTGGCCTCGATCGTTATCAGCGCCCGCTTGTCTCGTGCTGTCAGATGCTGCTGTTACTCTCTCTCGCTGTCGCCTCTGCTTTCGACTTCGCCTCTATGGTGCTTGGCACCCTAGCTGCTTCCTTTTCTTCCGCCCGCGCCCACCATTCAGTGACAGCTTCACGAACCCGCACCCATGGCCGGTCTCGAGTCTCCTGCATGGCCCCGCCGCCGATGACACGCCCCACCGTTAGACTTTCTTTGCTTTTTGGGAAGGCAAATTGGGACCACGGGCCCAAGACCGTGGGAGGTTATCGCTACCTGGAGTCTCGGCGTGCCTATCACCAGGGTCGCTCCATGGGGGTGTCCTGTCGTGCTACCCACGGCCGTCGCGCCCCGCGTTGCGAACAAGGGGCTTGAATGGCTCGTCAGAACACGCGAGCGAGGCCAGCCTTGGACCGATTGTGATAGCATCTTCGCACACCGCCGTGCAGCGATGTATGTGGTCGGGCCCAGCTAGAGCAGGTGCGTTATTGCTCTCGAATCACAACGTTGTCTCTTCACCCTGCCCTGGTAAACACAACGAGTCTCCCTGGAGTGTAGGTGCGAACGCCCGCGCAAATCTTTCGATAGTGCTTCGACGCCCAAGTCAAGACCTGTAGCCCCGAGACACATGGCGGCTTCCTCGAGACTGTAATGTCCTTTCCACAGCCGGCATCCATGTACCGATGATGAACCATGTCGTCAGGGAGTGGATGTCATATCACCGATAGTGAACGCCATCACCCGGACTGTCCATACCTCTTTGGTCTGCCTCGCCATGTTTGGGTACCTGGCCGCCGCGCCTAGGGTCACTGACGACCTGCAGCGTCTGCCATCTTACTTCTGCCATAACATCCGTCCCGGCCGGCCGGCGGCCAGTTTGTTTGGTGCAGTTCGCCATTCCCTACGACGGGGGGGGGGAGGCTCGGCAACGGCTTTGTGGCCCAGCTGCTAGTCGGCGCCTCTGTCGTGCTCATGAGCCCTCCGAGGGAGACTATTCCAAAGTTTTCGTGTGCATAACGGTACACAGCCAGCGATAATAAAGATTAATAAAGATGGCCATGGTTGCGCGTGTATGGGAATTATGGTAGGTTTCGTATCCCTGAGGCGCATCATAGTCAATCAGAGATCGATGCAATGCAACGACTTGAGAGATAAGCTGTTGACACAGTCTTGTCACGTAATAATTAAGGGTTTCCGCAGATCCGGACCCTTGTTGCCATGTGCTGCCCATGACCAGGATCTAGGCACGCCATCTCTGTGTCGGCCCACTGTTGTCGGGATTTTGGGGTGCGATTGCTCAATCGCTCGCTCTGGACGCAAAAGCATGACGGATAACAAGAAAGCATTGGTGTCGCACACGATGTGTGTGGAATTATTCTTGTCGGATGGCGAAAGGCTTGATCCCAAAACGTGGTCTCGGAAGGAGGTGGTGCTTGATGGAGGAGGACAAAAACATACTGGAATTCGTGTGGCATGCCTCGTACTGGAATCGAATCAGTGGATCTCATC